TTATTATTATTTTCCACCATGTATCTGTGAGTGCAAGAATATAGTTGAAAAATCAGGACATTTGGCTCAGGCCATATGTTTCCTGTAAAACCATTGTGCTGTTTTGGTGTTGTGTTATATTATTATTATTATTATTATTATTTTCCACCATGTATCTGTGAGTGCAAGAATATAGTTGAAAAATCAGGACATTTGGCTCAGGCCATATGTTTCCTGTAAAACCATTGTGCTGTTTTGGTGTTGTGTTATAGCGCTATAGCACTCTTAAAAGAACATTAAAAAAAAAAGACGAAGATCGCCCATGTGAGTGAAAAAGGGCAGGAAAACAAAGTGGGGCGGTCTGAAATGCCAAACCGCTTCAGAGACGGCTCCTTACCGGTAGGGGAGAGGCTGTGTAAAATGGCCGCCCCGTACCGGTTTACTCCAAGATGGCTCGCGAAAGGGGGCGTGTGCCGGTTGCGGGGGCACACATGCTTGTAGAGACTGTCAGTTTCGAGACGCTACATGTCATTCTTTTGGAAAGATGCGCCATATCGCTAAAGTCTGTCGCTCATCACAAGGTCACGCTACATCTAAGTTGCACCCCTTGTCTCGTTTCCCGTCCTCTCAGTCGTTCCATCGGAGGCAGAATTTCAGTCATGAAGCAAGAACGTCAGAAGACTACACCAACCGATTATATATCCACCAAGGTCTTCACGCATGTCGCAAGATCAAGGTTACCGTCTTCCTTGAGGGCCACGCTTGTCAAATGGAGGTTGATTCTGGTTCCATGCTGTCAATTGTCTCATGGAACACTTTCCAACAAGTCTGTCCCAGGTGCTCTGCACGCCGCCTCCAGAAATGCAGTCTGCAACTTTTTGACTTCCAACGGAACTGAGTTCCTGTCATCGGTATCACACCCATCCAAGTCAAATACAAGAAATTCAGCGGTCGCCTTAATTTGCTCTTCGTAGAAGGTCGCCGCACAAGTCTTATTGGCCTGGTTTGCCGCCCTCGGCATTGACATTATCAGCGTCAACAGCGTCGGTCAGGCGAGTGTTGCCAAGTTTGTGGAAGAGTTCCCTGATGTTTTCAGCTCTGAACTAGACTGTTTTAAGGGGCCACGAATTACCTTCTATTTGAATCCCGCCATTCAACCTATCCGCCTCAAGCCATGGCGGGGGCTGTTGGCTATCAAGCCTCGCATCGATGAAGAAATTGACAAGCTGCTGGCCCAAGGCATCCTGGAGCCAGTTCCCAATGCTAAATGGGAGACCCCGATCGTCACCCTCAGGAAGTCGGATGGCTCGATTAGTTTGTGTGCAGACTACAAGTGCGCCCTTAACAAAGCCCTGCAGCCGCACGCCTACCCGGTTCCTGTGGTGAGTCATCTGCTAGCATCCATCTCCAAGGGCCAGGTGTTCGCCAAAATCGATATGGCTCAGGC